TGTCTAAGAGACGAGTTTGCCCTCGTTCCCTAACCTCGTTCCCTAACCTCGTTCACCTTGTCTCCACTAGGATCTTTCATCACAATTCCCTGCAGCTGCAATGGGGGAAGCTGTAGCATAGCCGAGGCTCAGGCATTTTCACAACCATGTCCCCAAGCCCATGTACGCAGCAAATGGCTCTGTCTACTTGGGGTCGCATACATACTTAGACAGGCCAGGTTAGGCAGATGCTGACTGGCTGGGTCCAGCTGGGAGGCGAAGGGCTGACAGAGACACACATTTAGAGGATGCTGGGATTCCCCGCTTCAACCTCCCAATTCCATTTAGTCAGTGTGTCAAGCTCCTCGGTGGCTGGTCCTGCTGTTGAGAGGGTAGGAATTTCCCAGCAGCCGAGGGGGTGGAAAAGAGGCTTTGATCAAGGCGCCCCCACCGCAGATAGTGAGTTCCATCTAATTAGATGCAGACACTACAGGCTCCCAGTAGCATTAGGTTAATCAGCTAATGGATGCAGCAGCCCCTGGCCATGTGCTCTGCAGAGAGACCCTGGGGGCAGAGGCCCCCACCAGGAATCTGGGAAAACATCTGTTCTGATAAAGACAGCGAAGTGGGAGAGGGGACAGGACTAAGCCCGTTAACTCAGCTGCTCCGTCTAACCACTGTCAAGGGAGAACTCCCTCAAGTCTGGCAGGACCAGTGGTTCCCACTTTACCTAGTGCGAGGGAGGGACACAGCAAGCAGACACAGGGTTTAATGGCCTGGAAACCAATGCAGGGTGGGAAACTTCCAGCGTGAATCCCGGAGAACCGAACTGAAGATCAGCTCACTCAGAGGCGGAGACCCCTAGCAGGAGGCTCACAGAGTTCAGCTATATGCTCCCTTCACTGGATGGAGGCTGCCATGCCCAAGCAATGCAGACATCTGGTGCCATCTCCAGTGATCAGGAAGGGGAGGGAGCCACTTCCAAACACGGAACATCCTTCACCAAAGGAAGTCCTTGGTCTAGGCTCAAAATGCAGATTCACTGGCCAAAGGGGAGAGAAAGAGAGAGAAAAAACTTAGGGAGGGTCTAGGTCTCTAGGGTGCCAGTCACGGCAGTAGCTAGGCACCCTTACACACAGGCCTCGATTCCCTATTGGACTATGGGGAAGCCTTGCTTTGCAGGGGCTGCCAGGCTCATTAGGGGTTCGCAAAGTATTTGAGAGGCCCAATGAAGAGAGCTGTGACAAGGGAGTAAAGGACTGGTGTGCCTGTCTAGTGGGTGTGAGTGTGATAACGCGGGAGTCTGAGCCATCTGCTGGCACGAAGGTGACTGGGCAACAGCACTGTGGAGAGGCAGGGGAATCACAGACAGGCGCCACTGTGCTGCACACTCCCACACAGTGTCAAAACTCAGCTTCGGGCCTGTGCCACGTGCAGACAGCAGAGCTGCAACACGAACATACAGGGCCGAACAGAAGCAGGAGGAAGCCTGGGCTGCCAGAGCTCCCTTAGGGGGAGTAAACAGACATGCTAGCAGTCCCTGGGTACCCACGGCTCTGACACAACGAATCCCTCTCTCCCAATGAGCTCCTTCACCCTGAACTAGGAGAACTAAATGCATTTGGAGCTCAGCCTCTCTCAGCAGTTCCCCCAGCACCTACTGCTGCCTATAGAGCTTCTGCAGGCCTCACTAGACTGTCACCTGAGGGGAAAGACCCAAACAGCCCCTCCCACCCACAAACAAAACCCAAATCCCTTCACTTCCCCTCTCAGCATCTGCACATTCCAAATTAAAAGTGAGAGCCCAGATCCACCCAGCAAGGGCACCTGCACTGTGGGCTATTCCTTCAAACAAGGGGCAGGGCACAGAGACAGGGTGGGGGAAGGGGTAGCAAACTCCACAAGCTGCTCCATGCTGGGTGTGAACCACAACCCCCAGAACCTCCCATTAAGTGTGGGGAACAGTTACCTGCCATGGTGCTATTGTTACAAACATACACTTTGCGGCTCTGGATTGCTCTGCCAGGGCACAGGGCATGGAGGGTCAGATACACTGGGCCAGACCATCAAGCCCATGTCCTGCATCCAGCAGCAACTAACACCAAATGCTTCAGAGGAAGGCAAGACTCCCACAATGCATCTGGCCAAATGTGCCATGCTTCCCATTGGGTGACTTCTCCCTAGATCCTGAGGGGCTTAGCTGACATTCTAAGGCAGGAGGTCTGACTCCCCATCTCGACTGCAAATACTGCAATTGCCGATGGTGCTGTTATCAACAGGCACGTAACACCCACCCCACTCTCACCCTCCCGGTACCCCACACCCTCCACAGCTGCTAACATCACCGTGGGCTCTGACCCTTTTCCCCCAGTGAAGGATCTATGCTGGGCAGCTGCTACAGTGCCCCACACTTTGCAGCGTGGATGCACATTGCCCTAGACACACCAAGACTGCTGGAGGATGCCCACACTACACCATTCAGCCCAGCAGTCATGGCAGGCCACTGAGCATACTCACGTGATGCCACAGGGAGTGGCGGTGTTACTGAGACCTGTCAAAATTGTGACCTAGAGCCTCCACTAGTTGGTCTTTTAGACAATGAACACAGAAACGGTCAGACCAATGGTCCGTCCAGCCCAGCAGCCTGTCTCCAACTGCAGCAGGTGCTCCAAAGGGACAGAGCAGAGCAGTTTATCAAGTGATCCATCCCCTGTCATCCAGTCCCAGCATCTGGCAGTCAGAGGCTAAGGACGCCCAGAGCATGGGGTTGCCTCCCTGCCCATCTTGGCTAATAGCCATTGATTGACCTGTCCTCCATGAACTCATCTAGTTCTTATTTGAACCCTGTTATAGTTTTGGCCTTCACAACATCCCCTGGCAAAGAGTTCCACAGGCTGTGAGACTCATGTGAAGAAGAACTTCGTTTTGTTTGTTTTAACCCTGCTGCCTATTAATTTCATTGGGTGACCCCTAGCTCTTATGTTATGTAAAGGGGTAAATAACAGTTCCTTATTTACTTGCTCCACACCAGCCATGTTTTTATAGGCCTCTATCATATAGCTCCAGGGCTCAGTGGCCTTTTGGGCAGAAGCCGTGCTTCCCCCCGTGGCTCCCCAGCAGTCTGCTGGCACTGCAAACCAGAGCCTCTTCGCCTTATTGATGACCACGATCAGACTCCTGAAGTGACACACACAGTAAGATACTTTCCCAGCCCCAAAGAAACTCCAGGCAAAGGATTCCCATCCCCAGAACATGACTCTGGCCGGCTATACAGCAAATCTCTTGGCTGGCTCCACATCACGGGGAAACTGAGTGTTTCCTCTGGTTAGTTCTGCATTTACTGGCCCTGAGTCTGCAAGACCTCTTGGTTCTGGTTCTGGGGCAGTGGGCGCAGGAGGCTGTCATTTCTCACTGGAGTCTGGACCGGGACTTTACCCTCCCATCCCATCCCGCCACCAACACACTCACACACGCTTTGCAGCAAGTGTTAGGCTGGTTTTTGCAGCCTCCCCTCAGCTGTGGAATCCGCCCAGCCCCTAACCGGCTCCGAGGCGCTTCCCAGCGCTGCACGATGCAGCAGAGCCGGGCTGAGGGGAGTTCGCTTCATCCAGATGCTGCATGAGGGCAGGAGGGGCTGGAACCGGTTATTTGGGGCTGCGGCTGCCCACTCGCTGCAGCAAGAGCTCGGGGGTCTGGGCAGGACCTGGCAACTCCGAGGGGAGATTGCCCCGCTGCAGCGAGAGGGGAGCGAGGGAGCTCAGCCTCGGCCCCTGGGGGGTGGCTTCTCTTCCCCAGTTGGGGGGAGGCCGGTGTGGGGCCAGGTTATCCCGCACCCCATAAGCATGGCCCCGCTGCCCCTCAGACCCCCCCGAAACTCGGCGCTTCCTACCTCTCGGAAGAAGTTTTCCATTTGCAGCTCTCCCGCCTGGTCCCCGGAGCCGGGTTCCGTCCGGGCGCAGCCCAGAGGCAGGAAAGGCTGAACGCCTCAGAGCCGGAGCGGGGCGGCCACGGGCAGCTGCTGTCTGGAGCTCACGGCCCCATCCTCGGCTCGCGGCGGGCGGGCGGGCAGCGCGTGTCCGTGGATTGCGCAGCGCGTGTCCGTGTGAGGCGCAGCACGTGCCCGTGGATTGCGCAGCGCGTGTCCGTGTGAGGCGCAGCACGTGCCCGTGGATTGCGCAGCGCCCCGGTGGCCGAGCAGAGGCCCAGTCCCGCGTCAGCTTGAACGGGCTCCGCCGCTGCCGGCCCCGAGGTGTCACGCGGGAAGCGGCCCCAGCCCACGCGCGCCGGGTCTGAGCCGCCCGCGGGACCCGCACTCAGCAGCCCCCGGCTGGCTCCGCCCCGCGCCGCCTCATTGGGACCGAGCGCGGCGGGCGGCACCTCCCTGCCCAGAGCAGCGCCGGGCACCGAGCCCCCTGGTCACCCCCACCCCCACCCCCACCCGCGAGCCGGAGCTCGGCCCGGCCCCCAATCCCCTAAGCTCTGCCTGCGGGCTCGCCGGGGCGCAGGCACGGGAGCTGGGCCAGGGCTGGGCTCGAGCGGCACCTGCTAGAACCAGGGGTCCTGGGAGCCGAGCCCCAAAGCTGGGCAAAGCCCCGGCGGTGGTGGCACAAGCCCCAGGTGAGCTTGGAAACGCTGGGCCAGGGAGCGCCGCTCCCAGCCGGCCGGCAGGACAGGACAGTGAGTCTCGTCTCCCCCCCCACACACACACACACACTTCTCCGGCAACGGGGCAGGGAACATGGCCTGGAGGCAAATGAGTGATCATAGGTGCTGGAAGAGGGGGTGCTGCCGCACCCCCTGGCTTGAAGTGGTTTCCATTATATCCAGGGGTCACCGTTTGGTTCAGTGGCTCTCAGCACCCCCCTCACCCCCCCCCCACACACACAAATTGTTCAGCACCAGTGTGAGTGATGGGTGCACCTTGGGGGGAGAATGCTGCACTGGAGCCATCTGGAAACCTAGAGACACACGCATAGACCCCCCCCCACACACACACACATAGTGCCCCTTAGACTGCAAGCTCGGCAAGGGAGCTTCTGTCTCTGTCTGGGCAGCACCCAGCATAATGGGGCCCACTCCTGTTCCATGCCTCTGGGCACTTCCCCACCATCAACACCTAATACTAATGCAGCCTGTGCAGACACAAGCATATGGACAAACACACAGAGGCATTGGCACTTGATACGCACTTTTCCTACACACACAGGACTCCTGCACAGAGCTGGGTGCCAACGATTTCTAGTTTGATTCACAGAGATTTTGTTTCACTATATTTACTCATTTAAATTAGGCTTTAAGAATTGACAAATGGCTTTAGTGAAATAACAACCTTCTGGGGCCAATAAAGGAACTAGAGAAGGAGAGAGGAATGGGATGGGGGAGGGGTGTGAGAGGAGGATACTGATAATGGCTATGCAGACAAGGATGCTCATCTACTACTCCTGTCTTGCTCCTTCCATCTCTTCCCTGTCCACACCTGTATCCTGCTGCTCAGCGATAAACACCCTCCCCTTCCCTCACCCACACCAACTCCTCGCCCTACATCACACACACCTTTAGAAAGAGACTACAAGCTTTTAAAGGCATGAATATCGGTGGCCATATTATGCTCCAGGGCCACGGGACACCTGGATCTTGCACACCACACCCACCAAGTGCTTTACCAAAGAGATATTTGAGAAATGCTTCTGGATCACTTGGTCAGGTGGGTAGTGGGTTCATTTGAACACATTTTAATATAGCCAAACGCAAGGTCATACGTCTAGGAACAAAGAACATAAGTCACACTTACAAGATGGAAAGCAGTGGTACAGGAAAGGACTTATCGTGGTAAATAACCAATTGAACTTCCTCTTACAGTGCAATGCTGCAGCTAAGAAAGCAAATGCAATCCTTGAATCTATAAGCAGGGGAATGTCGAGTAAGAGCAGGGAGGTGTTATCTCTGTATATAGCATTAATGAGACTGATACTGGGATACTGAGTTCTGGTGTCCACACTCTAACAAGGATGTTTAAAAATGGGAATGGGTTAAAAAAAAAAGCTATCAGAAGGATTCAAGGTCTTGAAAACTTGCCTTCTAGTGAGAGACTAAAGAAGCTAAAGTTTATCTATGAGAAGATTAAGAGGTGACTCAGTCTGTAAATACCTACATCAGGAGGTGATTTCGGATAGGAGCGGGATCTTTAATCTATTAGACAAAGAAATAAGATCCAGTGGCTAGGAACTGAAGTGAGACAAATTCAGACTAAATATAAGGCACACATTTTTTAACAGTGAGGATAGTTAACCATTTGAGCAATTTATCAGTGCATGTGGTGATTGTCCATTACCTGAAGTCATATGGCCTGTGATCTGTGGGAGGTCAGACTAAGGTGATCATAATGGTCCCTTCTGGCCTTAAAATCTATTAAGCTAAACAGAGATAGTTTAAACATCAAGATTGTTAGGGCCAGTAATTTATGTTGGACCAGAGCTAAAGACAAGTGCTGCATCCCACTGGAAAGGAAGGATTAGCAGCCCCTCTACCATTGGATGAAGCACCTGTTTCTAACCTGACAATTTCAGAGATTCTGGATCTCAAACCAGTCACTTGTCCAGAACTGAATATTGCCAGTGTTCGGCTGCAGGTCAATGGAGTTGGGGCAAGAGGGGGTAGAAACAAATTTGTGGCAAGTTTTTAAAAACAAAATGGCAAGTGCCTGTCCTGAGGTCTGGAATGTGAGAAGCACGGGGAAATAGTTTTACTTTGTGTAATGACCCATCC